CATATTCAAAAGCTGTAATACTCTGGGCCTGGGATGAGCTTAAACACACCTTTGTACTATAAAGGAAACAATTTGCTAGGGAAATTAATGGTATAAATAATATTAGAAGTGTTGTTTTCAAGTACTTTAGAAATATTCATTTACATAAAAATTATTACCATGCTAATAAGTCCCAAAGGAATTCTATTCAGCAATGCTTCACTAGGCTGGTACAAATTCTTTATGAGATCCAAAGATCCCTTTTTTTTTTAAGTGAAAGGAATCATAAATAATAATAATAATCCTCATTTTTCAATTATAAAAATTGAGGTCACAGAATTTAAGTGACTTGCCCAAAATCACACAAGTGAATAACAGAATTAGTACTAGAAAGTTGGTATCCTCTCAGTCCAATGTTCTTTCTATAAATTAAACCACTTTGCTTCCCTTTCTTGCCTATTGTTCAATAGAAAGAAAGAAAGAAAGAAAGAAAGAAAGAAAGAAAGAAAGAAAGAAAGAAAGAAAGAAAGAAAGAAAGAAAGAAAGAAAAACAGGGAAGGAAGGAAGGAGGAAAGGAAGGAAAGAAAAATCATGATTTCATCAATGCAGGTAAATTTATTATGGCAGATAAAAAAATACGTTTTCTTCTTTCCCCCATCCTGTAGAATTCTTGTCCATGGCCCTCCACACATTGTCCACAGTTGATCCTTCCCATGTACCAATGGTTTTCCTCTAATTTTTTTTAAAAAAATATTTCATAAGCTTCAATGGAGCTGATCACCAAATGATGAGATGACTTCTTTTTCTAATCATAATCTAATTTCCTCATTGCCTTTTTTGCCATATTAGTATAAGTCATTATTGAAAATATTTTGCAGCCTGCATGCTTCTCCCTAATAATAATAGGTATTACATGCCAAGGCACTGTGCTAGACACTTTACAAATATTATAGCATTTGTTCCTCACAATAATTGTGGCAGGTAGGCGTTATTATTATTCCCATTCCATTGACAAGGAAACTGAGGCAAACAGAGGTTAAGTGATTTGCCCATGGTCACACAGCTTGTGAATGTCTGAGGCAGGATTTGAATTTAGGTCTTCCTAACTCAAGGCCCAGTGCTCTAACCACTGTGCAACCTATCTGTCTCTTGCAACTAAACCATCTTTCCATTGTTGTTTGGCTCACCCATAATTTTGATTCCTTAGGGATTTTACTTGTCCAACATTTGTAAACACAAAGCATCACAAGAAAAAAAAATGTTGAAAATATATACCGGAAAACAGCTTGAGATAGTTAAAATCACTGCACTGTTTTCTAAACCATTAAATTCATATACCACAATTTGTTTAGACATTCCCCAATTAAAGGTCATCCAGTTTGTTTCCAGTTCTTTGCTACTATAAAAAGTGCTGCTATAAATATTTAGATATATATATATGAGGCTTTTCTTTTTATGTCTGAACTTCTTGAGGAATACACCTTAGCAGTGAAATCTCTGGATTAAAAATATGGACATTTTAGTCATTTTCTTCTCATAATTCCAAATTGTTTGATCAATTCACAGTGCCAATAGAGCATGTGCCATCTTTATACAACCTTTCCAATACTGACCACCAGTGAGATCTTGTGTAATCTTTGCCAATTTGTTGGCTTGTAGTCTCAAAGAGACAGATAGGTGGCTCAGTGGATAGAGCACTAGGCCTGGAGTCAGGAAGTTCTGCGTTCAAATTCCGCTTCAGACACCTATTAGCTGTGTGACCCTGGGCAAGTCACTTAACCTTTGCTTGCCTTAATCCACCGGAGAAGGAAATGGCAAAGCACTCCAGCATCTTTGCCAAGAAAACCTCATGGACAGCATGGTCCATGGAGTCACAAAGAGTTAGACATGACTGAACAACAAGGTCAAACCTCAGGACTGATTGGTATTTACAGTGATTTGAAACATGCTTTCATATGTTCATCAGTAGTTTGCAATTCTTTTGAGAACTGATTCTTTGACCACTTATCAGTTGAGGAATTCTTTTTTCATATGTTTTTGAAATTGCCAATATATGATATGTTTTTAGTAATCATTAATCTCATGGAGGAGGCTCAGTAATATTCTGGGAATTGATGAAATTACAATGTAAGCTACCAACAGGAACACTATCATCCACAAGGAACTCTTTTCCACTTGGTTCCTATGAAAGATATTCTCCATGACAATGACAAATTGCTTTAGGAAAGCATACATTTTTTGTTTTGTCTTGCTTGACCTCAATAATCAGAGGGTTGTAGAACAAAGTTATCTAGGTGACTGAATTATAAAGGAATCTTTTCTATGCTTAGCATATAATTGAGAGATTCATTGCTAGAAGAGACCCCTTAAGGCTGAATTTTGCTTTAGTAGACCAAAGGTTTTTTTGATTGCTTACTTTCTGTAACCAATAATAAACAGCAGGTTCTTGTACTCTAAGGACATTTTAGTCAAATGTGTGACTTTAGAGATATGGTTGGTTACAGAGAATCATTTGTTAAAGACTACATGTTCCCTGCTCATATCTTCATCAAAGATACCTTCAATATGCATGTAGATAATTCTAGTAAAGATGTTATAAAAATGAAAAAAGCAGGAGATGGTAGTTACTTATGTTCTCATGATTATGTTATCTTTTTTTCCTTTAGACATATGTATATTTATATAGACATATTTACACATGTCTTTTAATGTGATCACCTCAATAGTTTCAAGACTGTGTCTTTTGCAGCATAGATTTTCTTAGTATGTCCAGCCACTCTTCCCCATTTTAATCTTTCTAGTGGCATTTCTATTTCTTTGAATAGCACACTGGGAGCTGGGATAACAGGGGACTCAAATACAATGCTTCCTCTGTTGCTGCTGATGAAAACAGATTACTGAAGAAACACTGTCATTTTTCAAAAATTACATTCTATTTGTTATTTAGCCCTGTTGCATGCATCAAAGCTTTCTCTAGACTACTCTGCTGCTTTAAAAGGCAATACTACTTGTAATCTGTCCAATTTTCCTCTGTAATGTTTACAGATTATTTTGTATTTTAAATCTTTGTTGTCCTTAGATACCATCTACTTGGTAAGATCAAGTATCTCCTGGCTACCACACATTTTGGGCTCTTTTGGACTCCCTCCTTGTAGTATTTGTTTCATATTGGTTAAACTTTAGAAAGAAATGACAATAAATATCCTTGGCTTTTAAAATTTCCTACTTTTAGCCTTAGAAGCTTATTTATATAGATCATATTGAAGCTATTGTAGTTCTTCTTTCTATTACTTCTTTTTATTTTGAGGTTAATTTTGGCCTCACTCCCCCTAGTAGATAGCCTGTCCACAGTTATTCTGATAGGATTACCATAAGTGTAACAAGCTGTTTAATTCTGTTAGAATATGTTCAAATTCACATTTTGTGGTGATGTAAAATATTAATCATGCTTATTTAACACCTTCCAACTCTCTTTTGTATGTGTATATTTATATACATATATAGCATTCATTATATATAAATAATATACACATTTATATAAAAATAAATATGAATGAAGAAAGCATTCACTATATATAGGTGATGCTCCTCAGTGTCTAAAAGCTTTTTTTTTTAAACATTTTCCCCCACCTTTCTGCACACTTCATGTTATAGTTATCTAATTTGGAGAACCTTGTCAAGTTCTTAACAGAATTCCTCTACCTCTTCATTCTTCACAACAGATGTTGGTAAATAAGTTACAATTATCTTCATATTGTCTTTCCACAACTATAAACTGATCTTTTTTGTTGCCTCTGGGTAAAGGCTGAAACTAATTCTGCCAACTCTTTTTTTTAACTTTAAAGAAAGCCTGTGAGCCACAATTCTACTTGGCCATAATTTCCTTCTCTCTTCTGATGGCTGGCTCCTTCTACACAGGAGTTGCTTCCTTAGTCGATGGCTGTAAGGGCTGTCTAGAAGCAAGACTATTGGTCTGAGGAATGTTGCCACTCCCAGGGCTCTTTTTTCTATTTGTCTATTGATGACAAATGGTCAGCAATGGTTGCTGGTGGTGATTAGGAAGGTGCGCTCCTTTTTTACAGTGACCTCTCCTCTACTTGACTCTTACCTATAATTGTGGTTTCTGTTTTCTTTGGTTTGCCATTGGAGCCATTTTGACTCATCTAGTGACTCAGGGCTTGCCATTGTTGAAGGTAATAGATAAACTTTCCTAAAAGACAAGTAGTCACTGCTGCCTACCTCTTCATTCTTCCTCGTACACTAGAAAAAGCATAGGATATTGAGTCAAAGGAGCTAGGTCTATACCACCACTGTATTATCAACAAGCCTGCTGCTTGCTCGCTCTCCTCAAGTGGCACAGACTCTCTAACCCATCAGTGTCACTGTGGAAGTGAAAGAGAACTAAGAAGTAAGCATATTTTAGTTTTCTTTGTTGCATGAGTTTCCATGGCCAAAGAATTCATTACCCTACAGTCAACCAACTATTTTATGGTAGTAAAATTACATTTGAAGAATAATTCTGAAATTTGGACTTTTCACCGTATCAGAATGGCATCCCCTTCACTTAGCCCAAATAAATGAAGTTTTCTATCATAGAATATATAGCTGCTGCAAAAAATACTGAGGTTACCTAAGACACTAAAAGATGGAGTTTGCTTGTTTTCCATTTACAGTCATCTTCCTTAACCCATTATCTTAGGAAGCATATTGTTAATTGTAAATTGGCTACTCAGAGAATTTCCCATGCATATTTAATTCTCATGCTACTAATTTTCAAGCTTGCTCAACAGAATCAGTGAACAGTTTCACAGAATAAAAATGAAGCTGAAAATGATAAAAAATAAATAAATAAGGAAATTATACAGGTTTGAGGAAACATTTCTTATAGGGGAAGCCTATAATAAGTATAGGAAGTATAAAAGGTCATCCAGAATTTTAAAAAATTTTCTGTCTTTAATCTCTACAAAGTGATCAAAATTAAAAAAGCATATTTCTTACAGGGTGACATGCAACTTCCTTACCTTAATGAGGTCTTCCCTGGAGGAAAAATGTGAAACTAAGTAATTTTCTCTGGTTTTTGTGTTAGTGATAGATACATGAAGTCGATTCTCTGCTATCTCATGAGCGTTAGAAGGAAGAATGGTCTCCATACCTCCTCTAAAGAAGAGAAAACGATAAGCATTATTCACCTTTAATTATTGAACACCTTGTAAATATTTTAAAAAGAGAGAGTGCTGAGAATGCTATAGTTTGTACAGACAGTATTCAATACTTTGTCTTCATATACTCTTAGTTTTACATAAGACACAATACATAGGAAATATAAATAAGTACCTTAAATGTGCCATAAAATCATAACCTGGTGTTATGGCACCCAAGTACTGCTTTCTAATTTCTTCAGCAAATTTGTATGTAAATTCATTACATTCCTGAAAAATAAGATATTCACTAGAATTAAACAAAATCTTAACCACACATCATTTTGGAGAAAGTGTTTGTCAACCAAGTATTAAATATATCAAGGACTTAATTTGCCCTGCAATTAAAAGATAACTGGTGTCAGCTGCTTCTGGCTCAATTATACATGTATAAAATGTAAATTCATTAATTTTTCACAGCAATGAAAATATTTGGGTGTGTATATATCAGTTGGAAACTGATCTGACAAGGAATTATGGAAGCATAATATAGCTAATGAGATGAATACCAATCCTTTAAGTGGGATTTTTTTATGCAATAAATATTTCAAAGCCAACTCGATAAAGGTATCTCTCCGTAAATAAGGAGGAGAAAGTAGTTCTAAATATAATACAAGAAGACAGAAATCATGAAAGCTACTCTAAGTTCACAGGCTCACAGATCTAGACTTGGAAGAGACCTCAAAAGTCATCTACAGAGCCCAATCCCTTCATTTTACAAATTAGGAAACTCTGTCCTAAGGAGGCTAAACAACTTATGCAAGGTGACACAGGTAGAAAACAACAGAGGTGGGATTCTAATGCAATTCATTAAACACTTACTAAGCACTTACTATCTATGGGCCAAGCACTAGGCTGGGTTCTAGATATACAAAGTTAAAACAAAATTGCCCACTAGGCCTTCAAAGAGCTTACTGATCTATTTAAAAAAAAAAAAGGTCCTTTACCTAGAAAATTAAATACGAAATAAAGACCAAATAAAAATTTTTGGAGGGTGGCAGATGGACCAGGACTAGCAAACAGTAAAGTAGAAAAGTTTCTTATATAACAGGCAGCATTTTAATTGAGCTTTGAAAAAATGAAGGGAATCTCTGACACTGACTTCAGAAGAAAGTGCATTGCAGGCACAAGGGACACCCTGTGAAAAGTCATGAAGATGGGAACAAGGAATATTGTGTACAAGTTACCCCAGGCAGACCACAATGCCCCTACATAATTATCCTGAACTTTATAAGACAGTCAATGACATTAGTTAATTCAGTGTTAGGTGACTGCAAAAAGAAAAAAAAAGTCAGTATAACTAGTTGCTCTAATGAATTCTGAATGTCCTTGCTATTTGATGAAACTAACCAGTCAACAGGGATGCTACAATAATGCCAGTTTTAGATAAAATATTTCATTTTTAAAATCCATGTATAAATTCCTTATGATGTGAACAGGACACTATTACTGTGATGTAGCATATGAGCAAGTTTTTTATTTTGTATGACAAATCAGAGGAAAGAAGGAAGTATCTCTACATTCACAAATTAACATTAAAATGTCAGAGTATGATGGTAGTTACAGGTCAGTTGTAGGGTAGTTGTCGAAAACAATTAATTTGACTATAATAATTAGGAGAGATCCGAGGTTCACAGATCTCTAGAGCTGGAAGGGAGCTCAACGGCTATCTAATCCAAACTCCCCATTTGATAGATGAAGAAAGTAAGGCCCAAAAGGATAAGTGACTTGCTGAAGGTCATAAAGCTAATAAGCATTAGAGCCAGGAGTGGAACCCAGGTCCTCTGACTCTATACACCATGCTCCTTCTAGTTACTTAAGATGTAGGAGGAAGAGGAAGGGAGAATTAATGACTACCTGTCTATCAGGAAGCTTAGATGTTATAAAACCTTTACCAATGGCAAGTACCGAGTCACTACGTGAGTCAAAATGGCCCCAGTGGTAAACCAAAGAAAACAGAAGCCACAGTTATAAGTAGAGTCAGGTAGGAGAGAGGTCACGGTAGAAAAGAGGCCCATCTTCTTCACCACCACCAGCTACAACCACTGGTCAACTGCCATCAATAGACAGATAAGCACAAGAACCCTGGGAGTCCTGGGAGTCAGACCACCATTCTTGCTTCCAGCACAGTCCTCACAGTCATTTGGGTAAGCAGTTTTTTCGGAGAAGGGGCCAGCAATCCTCACCAACTTGGCAAACAACTGCTACTCACAACCTAGCTTAAGCAGCAGGCACCCTGAGTGAGAAACAGTAGGCAGCATGTGCTAGGCAAGTCAAACCACTACGATCTCTACCTTCACTACCAGCTAAAGACCCAAAACCCAAACTTCTGTGCAGATGCAGTCTGACAAGCATTCCTACAAGTGCTACAGTCAGTTACTGAAGACCCAGAAAAGAAAGATTTTTGCCACCAAAGTCCTTGCCACTGTCAAACAGTTCAACATCAAAAATAATATGATTTTATCAGGGGAAATAACATTACAGAAGCATTAATATCTGTTTTATCACTGAAATCTTTCATGTGTTTTCTCTCCCACTAGAATGTAAGCTCCTTGGGCAGAGCCAAGACTGCAGAGTGAAAGCAGTGACTTGCTTGAGCTCTCCCCCAACCCCTCCAAATACTCCTAAAAAATGGCTCTAAACAAATTTCCAGCCCAAGACAAACTGGATGGTTGATCAGAAAGGTGTATTGAACTGGGCTGGGAATGGAGCACAACGCACCAGGGCGTGCAGACCACAGCAAACCTGGAGCAGGCCTCAGAGGACTGAATCTTGGGCAGGTGTGGTGGATTCCAGACTCCTCAACCCACTAATGCTAAAGACAACTTAGAAGGTCAGTGGGAAAAGTCTGTTTCTGAGGTGCTGAGAGAGGAAGGCGGGGTCTCAGTTCCATTCCCCAAGAGTGTGGCCATGGCGGGGGAACCTCCTTCCCGAGCTTTCGGCCCACAGACTGAGGGGGAATCAGGTGGCTGATCAGAGAGGGATTGCAGGGATCTCTTTGCCAGTGCAGAGGCAGGAATCTCTTGCTTTGCCCATGTTTGGATCTGGGTCAGTTCTGGGTGGAGGTGCTGGGGTGCTGAGGAACGCTGGTGTGGTAGAGCTTGGAGTGGCTGTGGAGAGGAACCCCTCCTCACAGTTACAGGACAGAAAGGAACATTTGTGGTCACAGACCAGGAAAGGAGTGAACACCTTGCCCTTTATCATACCAGCTTGGAAGAACTGAAAATTTACAGGTCCCTACAAGTATCTCTGAAAAACAGCAAAACCCCTGAAGCTTGGGACAGTACATTCTCCACATTGGAAGCAGACTCTTACCTTAACAAAGAGTTTAAAACTCAAGTAATTGGCTGGGATCATGAGCAAGCAGAACAAAAAGAGTCAGACTATATTATCTTCCTTTGGTGACAAAGAAGATCAAAATATACAACCAGAAGAAGACAACAAAGTCAAAGCTCCTACATCCAAAGCCTCCAAGAAAAATATGAATCAGTCCCAGGCCTTGGAAGAGCTCAAAAGGGATTTTGAGAAGCAAGTAAGGGAAGTAGAGGAAAAACTGGGAAAGAAATGAGAGTGATGCAAGAAAATCATGAAAAACAAGTCAACAGCTTGCTAAAGGAGACCCAAAAAAATACTGAAGAAAATAACACCTTAAAAAATAGCCTAACCCAAATGGCAAAAGAGGTCCAAAAAGCCAATGAGGAGAAAAACCCTAAAAAGAAAAATTGGCCAAATGGAAAAGGAAGTCCAAAAGATTACTGAAGAAAATGCTTCCTTAAAAATTAGAATAGAGCAATTGGAAGCTAGTGACTTTATGAGAAATCAAGACACTGTAAAACAAATCCAAAAGAATGAAAAATTAGAAAACAATGTGAAATATCTCATTGGAAAAACAACTGACCTGGAAAATAGATCCAGGAGAGAGAATTTAAAAATTATTGGACTATCTGAAAGCCATGATCAAAAAAAGAGCCTAGACATCATCTTTCAAGAAATTATCAAGGAAAACTGCCCTGATATATTAGAACCAGAGGGCAAAATAGAAATTGAAAGAATCCACGATCTCCTCCTGAAAGAGATCCCCAAAGGAAAACTCCTAGGAATATAGCCAAATTCCAGAGTTCCCAGGTCAAGGAGAAAATATTACAAGCTGCCAGAAGGAAACAATTCAAGTACTGTGGAAACACAATCAGGATAACACAAGATTTAGCAGCTTCTACATTAAAGGACCACAGGGCATGGAATATAATATTCCAGAGGGCAAAGGAGATAGGATTACAACCAAGAATCACCTACCCAGCAAAACTGAGTATAATCCTTCAGGGGAAAAAATGGTCATTCAGTGAAATAGAGGACTTTCAAGCATTGTTGATGAAAAGACCAGAGCTGAATAGAAAATTTGACTTTCAAATACAGGACTCAAGTGGAACATGAAGAGGTAAACAGGAAAGAGAAATCATAAGAGACTTATTAAGATTGAACTGTTTACATTCCTGCATGGAAAGATGATATTTGTAACTCATGAGACCTTTGTCAGTATTAGGGTAGTTGGAGGAAAAAAATTATATGTATGTATAGATAGATAGATAGAGGGCACAGGGTGAGTTGAAGATTAAGGGGTCATATCTGGAGAATAAAATTAAGAGATGAGGGAGGAAGAAGAAAGGGAGAGGTAGAATGGGGTAAATTATCTCACAAAAAAAACAGCAAAGCAAAGTCTCTTAGAGTAGAGGGAAAATGGGGAAAGGTGAGAGGGAATGAGTGAATCTTATTCTCATAGGATTTGGCTTAAGGAGGGAATAACATACACATTCAATTGGGTATGGAAATCTGTCTTACCCTACAGGAAAATAGGGGGAGAAGGGGACAAGAGAGCAGGGGGATGATAGAGAGGAGGGCAGATTGGGAAAGGGGTAATCAGAAGTAAATACTTCTGAGGAGGGACAGGGTCAAAAGAAAGAACAGAATAAATGGGAGGGCAGGATAGGATTAAAGGAAATAGAGTTAGTTTTTCACAACATGTCTACTATGGAAGGGTTTTGCATAACTGCACATGTACAGCCTATATTGAGTTGCTTGCCTTTTCAGTGAGGGTGGGTAGGGAGGGAGGAAGAGAGAAAATTTGAAACCTAAAGTTTTAAAAACATATGTTTAAAAAAAGTGTTTTCACACACTACTGGGAAATAAGAAATACAGGAAATGGGATACAGAAGTCTATCCTGCCCTACAGGAAAATAGAAGGGGAAGGGGATAAGAGAAGAGGGGAGAGATAGCAGAGAAGACAGACTAGGGGAAGGGGTATTCTGAATGCATGTCATCTTGGGGTGGGGGGAGGGGGAGATGGGGTGAAAATTTGGAACTCAAAAACTTGTGGAAGTGAATGTTGAAAACTAAAAATGAATAAATTTATAATAAAAAAAAGAATGTGAGCTCCTTGAAAGCAGGAACTATCTTATTTTTTTTATTTGTATCCCCATTGCTTAGTACAGTGGTTTGCATAGAGTAAACGCTTATTCATTCAGGCAGCTTGACATAGTGGCTACTGAGCTGGCCTGGGAGTCATAAAGACCTAGATTCAAATCTCTTCTCTGGCATATATTGGCCAAGTGACTCAAGCTCTCAAGGCACTATTTTAAGATTTTAAGTTACAGAATAACTAATGATCTACTTGGATAAAAGGAGTTTTCTCACAAGCACTTCTCTACAAAAATGAAATCACAGGTTCCCTTCCCTTCTTCCCTTTGCCCCACGAAGAAAAAAAAAAAGTATATGTAGGTACTTAGTATTCTAGTAGTTACAGTGAAGAATACAAAAGATGACAGTAGGCAGACTGCTCTCGAGGGTCTTTACATATTTACCTTGCTGTGTGATACAGAAGTAAAATCCTAACCAACCCATCTGAGAAATGCTGTTCAAGAGTATTCAAAATTGTCATAGGATCATAGATTTAGAAGTTAAAAGGGATCTCAAGGGTCAACTAGTCCAACCTCTCATTCAACTGATGAGGACACAGAGGCCCTGATAGGTTAAATCATTTTTCCAAGGTCATACAGGTGGCAGAGCTGGAATTCAAATCTATATCCCTTAGTTCCAAATCTAGCACTGCTTCCATTGTATCATGCTGCTAATAGTCTAACAGTAGCATCTCCAACTAATTTGGATTATCTCTACAATACAGCAGAAACAAAATGGAAGGGGAAGTTCCTGGTACTTGAGACCTTCTGTCTCTGCTACATTATTCACATAAGCTCTTTTGCTGTGCTGTTACAATTTCCAGTTTTATTTTTCATAACTATCCAATATTATGGGGAAGACAGGATATGTTTTGGGGCAAAGGATATAATGGCTTTAAAATGCTAGCTTCCAACGTTTCCTACCAAATAAGCTCCTTTAAGTAAGAGATAGGCTTTGTAATCGGTATTTATGTAAAGGTTTAAGACATGTAAAGCCATTATCTAATCTAGAGTTTGTATGTTACCCAGGTATCTATGATAGCACAATGCTCAAGAGAACACACTTAATTTTTTTTTCTAATCTTCATTGATTTGAATGGAAAACTGAATTCCTATTCATTGTCTATCTTAAAATATAATACCATCTTTTTACATTTTAGGATATTAGTTACAACCAGATAAATGCAATAACATTTGGCTAAATAGTGGTGAAAATAACCCTACGAAGAAGACAGGTGACAAAGACAATTTTCTTTACATAGGGGACAGGGGAAAGGGGAGAGGAGGATGAAAGAAAAACAGTAACAAGAACCTAGGGAATCAGATCTATAAATCAGACAACAGAATTGAACTGAAAATATTTAGGCTGCGTCCAGTACAAGATTATTTGACTCTCTATCATTGGGTCCAAAGTCAGGAATTTTGTCTTCATATTTGAAAGTGGAATTTTTTTTTTCTGAAGACAAAAGACATATAGAGGTTGCTCAATTTATTAAGCTTTTAAAAACATCTATGTATCTATATGTATGCTTATAAAAGAAAGTCCCTTTGAGAAAAAAGCAGAGTTGGGATCCAAGAACAAATAATTAAACTAGAATAAAATATTTCTTTCCGCTCAGCTTCTTCCTAATGTAATCATCTTAAAAAAATAAAGTAGCGTATAGGGGAAAGGGAAAGGCACAGATTCCAAATGACTCAATTTTAGGCTTTTAATATTTTTTTTTATTTCTCTACCAAGCCTATTTTTCAAATCTAACATTTTGGTGAACTAAAATTAAGTCTTGATATTTTGTCCTAATTTCTCCATGAGGCACATATTTTAGTTACTACTTAATTACCTCTATTTTTCCTGGTGCAGTTAACAGAACAGTTGCAACCAAAGATCCTGCAGAAGCTCCAGCAAAGGCCTTTACAACTTTTAGTAATTGTTTGCCATGTTTGCAAAGTGCAGATGCTGCCCCCAAGTGGTATATTCCCAGAAATCCACAAGCTGCAAAGGACAGGTTGATATGCTTCATTCTTGCTACAAAATGAGACACTAAAGTCAGAAAAAAAGTTCTCCAAGATACCGCAAACACAGGTATCCTTTATGTTGTTTTTAATGGTTTAATGGTTTATTGTTCATATAAATTTGAAATCAGAAATATTTTCACCAAAACATTTTTTGAAATATAATCCAGTTTTCCAAATATAGGGGCTTCAACTCATTCTACCTCAGTATCTGAATTATCTTTAACAAAAAAAAAAGCAACTACGCTTAACTCAATATGTGTTTAGTAGACTGTGCCCACCTCTTTCCTTCCATTTTTTATTTTTTTTAAACAAACACTTTCACCATCTCAGACACAATATTTCGTGTTTTCCTGACCTTTAAAAGAATTGGAAGCCTTTGCAACACTTTTATTAAAAATTAAGTAGTGTAAAATTAACAGTGGTTATACCTAAAGTGATTATACCTTTACACATACACACTGAACGTAAATATATTAATTACCTTTGGGGGTTTTTCCTAACTCATCATCAGAATTCAAAATAAAATGCTGCCACAATTACCCAATAATTTACTGAGCCTCATATATTTTAAAATCAAGACACAGATCACACAACTTTCACACACACAAAAAAAATCCAATTCTATCTAACCTTTTGTTTTCACATCTAATTATCAACATTTCACTGTCAAAAATATTCCCTTAAGACCCTTAGGATGAAGTCATCATTTGACAGACCACTAAAGACTAAATTAATCTGTCCACCATACCTAGAAATTCTCCTGCCTTAAGAAAGTATACTTTGAACAGGTCACTTTAAAAACCTCTCTAGCCTTAGTGTACAGAACCTTTGCCCTTGATATACAGCCTTTCTCTCCCCTCAAAAGCTTTCCCTGGTCTGCTTTCTTAGGAAACTGAATAGGCCTCATTAATGGGGTGGGGAGCAGCACAATGGGACCAATGTGGCCCCAAGAGCTCCATTCCTGTAAGACCCAACAGAGGCCTCATTCATTGCCCTGGAGAGGAAAATGGATTCACCAGAGGGCTGCCACAGAAACAAATTTTAAAAATTGGAGTCATCTTCTTCGTAATGGATCTCACTTCATTACATAGTGAAAGACCCCAATGTTCGGGTAGTCCTCCGACCTTGAGAAACCCTCCCAGGATCAACGCGAACACAACTCCGGATGCAAATAGCAAGAGGTTTATTGAACTTACGAGTACTCGGGCGACTCAGTCACCTAGAGGGACTGGCGCGCCGGGTGGATTCTCTTGGTCTCATTTTATAGCAAAAAAAGCGCGGGTACAGAAGCGAGGAGCAAGATCATTGGTTAGTTTGAAAAAAACTCCGGTCACGAGAGGGTTCTAGAAACTGCTGAGGGGCACCCTAGAAACTGTTATGAGCTCAGCTATTTCTGGAATTGTTTGCATAAGTCCGGGGTGGGACTCAGGTGCATGACCACAGATATTCTGTTTGGCACTCCAAATCTTCCTTGTTTTTCTTGCTCTGACCTTTTACTGTGCCTGGCTGCACCTGTCCCTAAACCTTGGGCCCTCCGGGTAGTTTCCATACTCCACGGAATGATTTCTGCCTCATGATTTCTGCCTCCTTCATTCCCCCATTTTCTTTGAGGGTAGCTCTAATCATAGAGCAGAATTAAAGGTTATCCTCGTTGTCTAGGGTCTGGTACTTGTGCCTGAGAACCAGAATCCTTACTGCACTAACCCTATCATTGATGAATTGCACTAACTTATTGATGACACAAGGCCCGAGGGTGAGTAACAGAAGGAGGAGTAGCAGGGGACCAGCAAGGGCAGACAGTAAAGTAGTAAGCCAGGGGGAACGGTTGAACCATCCCTCGTACCAACTTAAATTCTTTTGGTGCTCTAACTGCCTCTTATCTAACCTTTCCTTGAGTCTCCTGGGGCCACTCTCATCCCTATAGGCGAGTTGACGACCCAAGCTAATTTTAAATTGTGGACTTTATTAGCTATTAGCGCGCGGCTGCCAGGGATATTCACATCCAAATCAAGCAGCCCCCATCAGGGGTTGAGCTAGGGTTTATATAGGGAGTATACAGGACAGGGAGGGGGATGGATCTTTGAAGTCTGGCAAGAGGAAGAGGTTTTTTTGGGGGGGGCTGGTCAAGGACACCCTTCTCCCTCTGTGTAGATATGATAATGCTCTGCAAACTTTCTCACAATGGAGGCTTCCAGAGATATGATCTGAGGGCTGTGGCCTGAGCAGCCAGATAAGGGTCTTGCTAAGGAATTTGGAGTTTTCCATGGCCTAAAGGGTTCTACTACCCAAATGGTAAAATAATGTTCTGCATTACATTCCCCACTTCTTTTGTGTACCACGTCAAACCCTTGACGTGGTTGGGGCTGCCTCATTATAGGGTGCAAAGAAGGCAGACACCAGGGTCTGATAACGGGGACCTTTAACCAACAGTAACTTAACTAAATTAATACAGGATCTAACAAAGTCAAGGAGCCGATTAACTAGACAAGGACCAAGAATTAGGGCTATAGTAAGGAGGAGCAAAGACCCGGCTAAGGCAGAAATAAGAATGGTTAACCATGGGGAAGTCCAAAACAGGCTGTGGTACCAATTTTCGTTCCCTTCTCGTTCCCTCTGCCTGTCTGCAATATTTTTCCGTGCCAGGGAAAGGCTCTCCTGAACTACACCTGAGTTATTGGCATAGAAACAGCAGGCCTCCCCTAGGGCGGCACAAAGGCCACCTTGCCTGAGAAACAATAAGCCTAAACCCCTCTGGTTCTGCAGAACCATCTCTGCCAAGGAGTTGACCTGTCTCTCCAGTTGGGATGTAGAGTGCTCCAGATGACTGACTGAGGTCTGCATCGACCTGAGCACTAAGTTCCTGGTAACTGGCCTCTCCTCGGACTAGGGCAGCGGTACCCACAGCAGTTGATCCCACTAACCCCAACCCCACTGAGGATAGGGATGAGGAGGGGAACGGCTCGCTTGCTTCAGTAGGACACACTGCCCTCATGACTGAAGTACTCCCAACCCTCCAGGCCCTGAAGAAGGGAGACCCTGGGGATAATGAGACTAATATACATAGAGGCTCAGATTCTTTTAGGAACACTGCAGTGGAGACACACTGTGTGATCCCATCCAGACAGGCCCACCAAGTGCCGGATGGCCCTGAATAAAAAGAGGAGGAGGATTGGGGAACAACCACAGTACTATTACAGACAGGAGAGTAAGGAGAAGTTTTCAGGGATGTGGTGGATGAGGTAAGACAGGTACCTTTTCCTTGGACATCCCCCAGGGTCAACTTAGGTTGTTCCCACCGACAATTTTCCGAGTCTGGGCTATGGGAACAGAACCATTAACTGCCACTCCCACATAGTATGGGGGTTGTGCATCCATACACAGCCAGCAGCTAGGTCCTAGGTCAGGCCAGGTGGAGTTGACAATGCTATGGATGGCTCAGAGCAGTCTCATAATCGAGGGGTGAGGAGGATCTGCCTGAGGGGTCCTACTAGGAGCCAGAGGAAAAGGGAAGGAGAACCAAGGAAAAGGGGGATGGGCAAGTAGGTGGGGGCATGTGAAACAGGGAGGGGTAGTGGAGAATAGGGAAATGCAGGGGGGTCAAGGGAGATTGAATAGACAGTGGGAATAGATAATGGAGGGAACAGGAAGGCAGAAGTTTGAAAGGCATCGCACAAAATCAAGGTGGGGCTAGGACTTTCAAAAGGAGATAAAGGAAGGCCTTTCTGGGGCCTATAGACAAAGGGAGCCAGATCTGAATAAGATTAAAAGGTAAGGCTAAGGCTTTCAAAGGGAGATGAGGGTCTGGGGCCTGTGAGTCAGATTCCCTTTGAGGCAAAGAGCGAAGATCTTGGTTTGGGCCCCGCCCCCATCATCCCCCCTCAAACAAATAGGAACCAAATTCTTTTGGTGAAAAGGGGCGGAGGTCTCTGCTTCTGAAACTGCTTCCTGCTGGCAAGGGGCGTAGAGCTGTCCCTGCCTCTCTGGGTCCCGTTCGAGGGGTCAAACTTCAAAACCTGGCTGATGCCAGGTTCAGTGGACTAGAGACCTTGGGTTGGTATACAGTCATCTGGAAGTTGATGGCTCCGACCCTAGAAGAAAGGAATCTGGCAAGAATATTTAGTAAACATGGACCAAACAAACACAAGAGAAGTATGATCAGTAGTGGCCTCTGTGTTTTCTTTCTGGAGTCCCTGCAGAACTTGGTTAAGGAAGAATTAGTGCCATCTGCCCTGAGTTCCTACTCCCCCTTTTAGTTTTTGGCAAAGGAATCATCCAAGGAAGAGGACTGCCGTAAGAGCCGGACCCATACTGCCAACCCCCCACTAAATAGTAAACAAGAGCAAACAACAATATGCATACCTTACATTAATCCACAGGCCCCAATGCATACATAGATATATGAAAGAATCCATTTTAACACAGTGCATATAGGATCTTAAATGTTTCAGTCATGCCATGTTTCTCTGATGACATGGAGAAGATAAACCACAAGCCATTTCCCTTTTAACATTATTAATTGTAACACAACTTTAAACAAGTATGATATTACCCAAATAACAAAATAACATTCTCACAAACCCCTGACCTAATTGTAAAGAACTTAACTCATATAGGAACACACACAGAACACAAGTCCCAGTTCTATAGTACCCTAAGATGTCACATTGCCTAAGGAACATTTCCAAAATGAGCCCTAAAAAGCTTGCATGCATTTCTACTCTTGTTCATAAAACCTCACTAAATTGGTGCAAAAGTTCTTAAATAACACAAATTCCAGAGTAGTATTAAGGAAACTAAATTCCTAAGTATTCCAGAATCCCTCATAAGTCTTTAGTTAAAGGCACATAGAGATAGTTCAGTTTTCCCAGTCACACAGGACTAGGTTCAAACAAACAATACAACAAAGTTTACTCATAATTTGCAAAATTGCATAATTACATTAAGTCAGGTACAGATTAAACCAATCAGAGAGCTCACAATAGACTAGTTTGGAAAAGAGAGATTTACATGTAATCAGGGTAACAAAGAAAACCTTAGACAGGAATCATACAAATCAATACAATCAGTATTACCTATATTAACTAATATTAAGTTCCTTGCTCATGTACAATCGGTTTAATTCATAGGCAGTTCAAAAAGGGAGCTCTGCTTCTCTGGCTTAGTGTAAAAATCCAAAACTGTGATCTTCCTACCTAAACATGCTTAAAGCTTGGATTGCTATGATAGATACATCTTGGAAGCCAATCATATCAGTCTAATCCTATTGCTTTTCTCAAAATTTGCTATCCTATTTAATTAGACATCTATCACATTACACTTTGTCCTATTATTGTGTTAAACATTTCCTCCTTAGGGGGATGTTATCCCTATATTATTATTATGTGGCCATGAATGTACTTGCATCCTATTACGGTAACACAGGGATGTTCCAGAGGGACAGGGTCATATATCATATCAGAAGGAAAGAACTTCCTTAGCTCCATTTGATTCCAGGCATGAGTCATATCTGATAGGTAATCGCATAGTCACTGGATGTTAAAAGCAGGGCCTGGGATTAATCAGGTGGGGATTTCCCGTGTCAGAAAGGAAATAGCACAATTGGGAAATAGAGTCAGGAAGATCTATCTAGGCTGTGTCCAAGGTTGTCCTCAAAAGTCTTCCCAGGCACAGACTTCCACCTTTATCAGTTTCTCAGCCTGCAGCACATGCCATTCTACTATTGGCTTTATGACAACTCAGACAAGTACCCTGGTAATCAAAGCTCAAAACAATAGTAAATGTCTGTCCCATAAAATCACAAATCCTGGATAATAAGAATTTAATCTCACATTGGTAATAGTAAGAGACTGATCACAGAAAAATACTACTGCTCTCATAATTCCTTTAAACAATGGGAACATCTTGAGGTGAGTATAATCAATTGAACCCCAATAAGGGCCAAAAACCTGAACTAATTCTTTTTTTTTTTTCAAGTGAACCAAAAACACCCCTTTCCAGGACCAGTTAGAACTGACCAACATTCTTTCTGTTTGTTATCACTGAGCCCAAGATGTCTGGGACCAAACACTCTCCAGAACAATGGGACTTTTCTTATCTCGGTATCTTATGGACATAGACTATGCTATGTCATGTTAATGGTAAAAGAAACACAGATATCTTGGTCTATAATTTCAATGGACACTTTGACACCCTCCCGCTCTATTGAATTTACAACCCATTCAGTTAAGAAAATTTCCTTACCATGCCACATGTCAAACAAACATATGGAAGCTGCACTTTTTTTTTTTTCAGGGCAGATGACCTTTCCTCCCCCCCCATAGTTTCCAGGGATCCTGGCAAGTTTACAAAATAAGGGGAATTGCCATGTGCCCCTCCTTTTCACACACAAGTAATCAATTAACAATCTTAGGTTTTGATATTAAAACAATAACCCCAAAACTTAGTTAACAATCTCACAAATTTTATAAATTATAACAAAACAATTTCAACTGAAAATTCCCTTTCAATAGAGACAAAATTTGAAAATCTTATACTTCCTTGAATTACAATATTTAAAAGGAAATGTTACAAAACAGGATCATATAAAATGCCCCAACAGCCAAATTGACTCCCTTTTTTTTTTTTGAAGACACAATTAATTTAACATTCCAGATTATAAAAGAAATTGCCCTTCCAGCAACATAACTAATACAATTGACCCAATAAAAAAATCTTTCTTCTTTCTAGACCCTTTCACCAGGTCCAACAGTCTCCTGGAAGACAATCCTTTTGACTGCAGAAATAATAGAAGGATTAAAAGTCCCCTCCGGTGGCCATCCCACTTCGAACGTGGGCCACTCGGAGGAACAGAAGGTTTGCCACTTTCCCTTTCTTATCTCCACGGAAAGATTGTGAGCCCTTGTCTTCACGTCTTTCCAGTGATCTAGTGTAAGAGAGAGAGGGGTCGACTCACCCTGTCCCATTCTGGGGGTCCCGAAGAGTGGAATTACGACCCAGATAATGATTATTATTGAAATAAAAAGGAAAAAAATTATATGGCGGCGTAGACGTATATTAAAAAGACAGGAAAAAGAGTCAGAAGGTAGGGTATGTCTCTCAAGACAGTGCAACTGTGAGATCAGAAGAGAATTATCCCTTGCCGTGGGATCCACCAGGCGTCCCTGGTCCTCCCCTGATCCTGGGACGTCTCCCAGGATTGCCGGGCGGTGAGCCCCCGAACACGTCTGTCCGCTACTCACGCCTCGATCTTAGATCGATTAACCCGGAATAAACTGAAACCAAAAATGCGCGCACACCGAATAGACAGTCAGAGTTTTCGGAGTCAGACACAGAGAGAACATAGAGCGATCGCTGGCCAGCTTACCTCCCGTCGGTGGTTCGGCGGTCCTTGGGTGGGAATCTCAGATCCCGGACGAGCCCCCAAATGAAAGACCCCAATGTTCGGGTAGTCCTCCGACCTTGAGAAACCCTCCCAGGATCAACGCGAACACAACTCCGGATGCAAATAGCAAGAGGTTTATTGAACTTACGAGTACTCGGGCGACTCAGTCACCTAGAGGGACTGGCGCGCCGGGTGGATTCTTTGGTCTCATTTTATAGCAAAAAAGCGCGGGTACAGAAGCGAGGAGCAAGATCATTGGTTAGTTTGAATAAAAACTCCGGTCACGAGAGGGTTCTAGAAACTGCTGAGGGGCACCCTAGAAACTGTTATGAGCTCAGCTATTTCTGGGAATTGTTTGCATAAGTCCGGGGTGGGGACTCAGGTGCATGACCACAGATATCCTGTTTGGCACTCCAAATCTTCCTTGTTTTTCTTGCTCTGACCTTTTACTGTGCCTGGCTGCACCTGTCCCTAAACCTTGGGCCCTCCGGGTAGTTTCCATACTCCACGGAATGATTTCTGCCTCATGATTTCTGCCTCCTTCATTAGCACCCTAACATCAATTTCTAATTCTTTTTTTTTTTAAAGTGTTACTCGTTGTGGAAGGATGGAGGTTTCATCCCCAGGAAAACTGCTTTTATATGGACCAAGAGCCCTTTCCCCAGAACCCTTCAATGTGGGGAGCATGATTCTATTCAGCTGAGCCCCATTTTAAGAACGTTTTAAAGTGGGGGACGGCTGAAGGTCAAATACGGCCTTCAGACGTTCCGCGAGGTACTGCCCCGCCCCCGAGGGGAGACACGTGAAAAGGAAGCCAGAGAAGCGGAAGGTCACGTGCAGCCCTTGGCCAAGCCTCGGGGCGCTGTCCCCGAGGATCCCCCAGTCAGATGGGGGCATGGGGCGGTTCTGAGTGAGAGGCGGCTTCTACCTACACCTCGGTTCCCGTTTCACCTCCCTCTTCTCCATCATACCAATCCTGGCCTGGGATACATCCATGTTGAATAATGCCCCCCTTGACACAATATAAGTAGGGGCCGCCCAGTCACTCCACTCCCGCCCTCTCAGTCGCGCCGCCGCCACGGCCGGGCGGGCTCCGGGGACGCGCGCGCTCGGCCCTCCGCCGGGGACGTTCTCTTTCCGGAACTCCAGTGGCCTAGGGCAAGGGAGAGGCGAAGCCAGAAACGAGAAAGGTGCGGTGGGAAAACACGGGAAGATCGGGGAGGGAGTAACAGCCGTCGGGCCCCGCCCCCTGACATGGCGGTGTGTGACGTCATCGAGCCGCTGCGGACGTCGCCCGAGGCCCCAGGCCTAAATCAAAACGTCTTATTTTTAAAAAGTAAAACTAATCCTGAGAAGGTGAAATTAAACCGGGGAGGGGGATACAAGGAGCGGGGTGAAGAGAGGGTTAAGTGAAAGAGAATCTTTGCGCAAGCGCGCTTGGCAGCCTCCTAGAATTTAGAGCGCGCACGAGCTGCTGCGCATGCGTGAGACATTTCTTTTCCAAGTGATACCTGTGTTTCAGGTGCTGACAGTATGGTTTTGGTTTTGTTTTTTTTATTCCCGTGAATGTTTGGCAACCAAGACATTTAGTACGTCTTACCCTGCAATACTCTCCGTTATACCCCAACTCTGTTGGTCTGTACACCCGTAAAACGAACCTGCCGCCTTGTATACGTGTGTCAGGCACCGCGGATTCCTGGAAGGATTCAGGGAGCTTTAACGGGGTCTCCTGCTGTCCTCCATCCCTGCATCACGCCGCTCTCTCTGTCTTCCCTGCTTCCTCTCCTCTCCTCACCCCTCCCACCCAGTGGAAATTAGGGCTTCTTGCATTTCTGCGGGGGCTCTTCCTCCCACCGTGCGGGGTAGAGTAGGCAGGGGGAGAAGGGGGGAAAGCAAGAAGCGCAACATCTCTTCGTGTCACGACTGTAGTTTCCAGGGATCAGATGCTCATTGATTTCCTCCCCGCCTCTTCAAGTCCTTCCTCAAGGTCGTAGCCGCAGCAGCAGCCTGTGAGATCCGATGATACTCTCTGTCCCCAGCAAGGAGATTTAAAGGGTCCACATATTCCCTCTCTGTTTCTACTCGTGAGCTTTAGGAAATTTTAATTCCCTATATTGAGGTTAAAACGCAAAGCAAAAAGAGACAGAAGGAGGGCAAGAAAGAAAGAAATAGAAAGGCAAGGCCACACACACTCATGACTGTCCTAATTTCTTTTTTTCTTGACATCCTTTATTGTGACGCAAATCTAGGTATTTTGCCACTGTGATTTAAGGAAATAATCCGGACGTTGTGACGTTTCAGGCTTTGCCAGCTCCCAACTGTTCCAGGAGCTGGCATTTACAAAGTTATTTACTCTTCCTCCCCCATCTTCATCTCCCCTTTTCTTCTACCATTTAGTGTTTTTTGGGTTTTTTTTTTCTTGACTGTGACCCAGACTGCCCATTGCTGTCTCTAGGGCTTACTTAGGCTGTTATTAGTATGGATGAAGGCTTGGCCAACCAGGAGTTTTTGTTTTTCAGTTCAAATATAGTCTTGTTAATGAATTGTTGTTAGTCCTTGAGATGTCCAGTGCCTATCTTGGCACTCAGCAGGGCTTATGAGCCTGTTATGGAACAGTAAATCCAAGCTTCAAAATATAGTGTCTTAATAAAGTTTATTGTCTATGCTTAAACTAGTACTTACTCTATAAATGCTAATAATAACTATCCTATAGATTCTGAATTAATGTCTAAGTGGGTAAGTAGAAAAGGAAATAATACCATCCTTCCTCAACTGAGAAACATTGGAACCTAATTATCTCTACTAAAAGTCTGACTCAGAGAAAAGGGAAATGTGGAAGGTGTACTACTCCTTGCTTAGTGGAAATAACATTGGACCTGCAGGCAGGATATCTAGTTCTAGCCTTGACCATGTGATCTTGCTAATCACATATTCTTTGGAAAATTCATTTAACTTGTTAGGGCCTTGGATTTCTCCTCCGTAAAATTAGGGAGCTGAATTATATCTCTAAGGGCCTTTCTGTTTCTTATTCTTTCTTATTTTTTGATTCAGTGTTGCTGGGCTTTCTGTCTCATCCTCAAAACACTTCCCTTTTAACTTCCTCTGTAACCTCAATTTAAAAATGTTGAGTAGTATTGAAATTTCAAGCAATCCAAATTTAAAATTGCCTTGTTGGGATCTAGGAATGGCAAAAACAAAGTCTTGGAGGGAGTGATAGCAGTAACAGCTGTTGTTGCACGCCTAGATTTTCAGCAGGTTTGCCCAGACACCAGATGGAAACCTTGATTTCTAGACTGTCTGGACAAATACCAGACATATGGAGACCTTAATTTAACCATGAAAGAAATTATCTAAAATGATGCCTACATATGACATTCTGACATTTTACCCATTATATTTTGAGTTCTCAAGTTAAAATTTTCCAAATTTAGATCACTGTGTGAAGCCTTCCCTCTTACATTGTATTTCTATCTCATTAATTAAACAAAAATCATAGAATATCTTTGAAGGATCCACATTAGATACAGATAGATAAGATATAAATGAATTGTGTGAACTGTATAAAAAACTTGAATTGTGACTTTAGAACATTAAAAATAATAGCTGATAATGTGTGAATAGCCCTTCAAGGTTTTACCTACAGTGCCTGATTTGATCATCATACAATACAATGAGGTATGTACTACTGTTGTTATTACCATTGCACAGATGAGGAAACTGAATTTCAACAAAGTGATTCAGATAATGTCAAAGGAGAGATCTCCTACTATTACTGTGTTGTTACTAATGTCTTTTTGCAGTTTGATTTTAAGATCTTAGGTACCATGCCATTTGATATGTGTACATTTAATCTTGTTTTCTCATTGTTCATAGTGCTGTTAAGAATAGGGTAGTTTGCTTTTTGCTATTGTTTTAAGCTCCAGGCTTCCTTAGAATTTCTGGAAACCTAGAAGAGACAGGCCCTAGAGACCATGACCCAGCCAGGATGGGGGTTGCTGTTCCTGGGCCTCATGGCCATGGCACATGGTCAGAAGGGAAATTATCTGCTCAGTGTCTGCATGGATACCAGATACCACAAGTTACATCCTGGTCCAAAAGATGACCTTCATCTCCAGTGTGGCCCATGGAAGAAAAATGCCTGCTGCACAGCAAACACAAGCATCGCTGCCCAAGAAGACACTTCCTACCTGTACTGCTTCAACTATAACCACTGTGGAAAGATGACCCCTACCTGCCAACCCTACTTCATCCAGGACGATTGTCTCTATGAGTGCTCCCCCAACCTAGGACCCTGGATCCAGCCAGTGTCCTTAAGCTGGTGGAGAGAATGGATGCTGAATGTTCCCCTGTGCAGGGAGGACTGTAACCAGTGCTTGGGAGGCCTGCCAATCCTTATATGCCTTCAGAGAGAACTGGAACAAAGGCTGGAACTGGACTTCAGGGATTAACAAGCACCCAGTTGAGGCTGCATGCCCACCCTTTCCCGTTTTACTTCCCAACACCAGCCTCCCTATGTGAGAACGTTTGGAGTCACTCTTATAGCGCAAGCTCTTTTGGCCGGGGCAGTGGCAAATGTATCTAGATATGAATTGACTCAGCCCAGGGAAACTCCAATGAAGCTGTGGCTAAATACTGTGCTTTTGCCTCTGCCCCAGGCATCTTTAGCTGGGGGGCCAGTTTCCCCTTCTTGACTTTGACACTGCTATTGCTTCTCTGGGGTTAACCCTCACCTGGCTTGAAATCTAACCAATCTACATACAAAACCATAGCTAAGATTTACTCTGGATCTGAGATCCCTGGATCCCAGATTCCTGCCTGACATAACCCGGCTGTCTTGAAACCCTGGCTTCCCAATCTGGATTCTTCCCACCAAATCTGATCTGTCTGCTTGGAAACCTACAATCCCACATACCTTGAATTTCTCATTCCTCATCCCACTGCTGAGGCAGGGGAAGGGAGGGAGTACGTTCCTTTCTCCCTACTTTTAAGTAGCTCCAACTCCAGTCTCCTGCCTCTTCCTCTGCATAGCAAAGTCCACCCCTTCTCTTCTTTAGGTATGATTTCTACCCTCTCTAAAGTAAAACCCTTTTTACTCCTTTCAAGTGAGGATCATTTCATTGATTATATTTGTATCCCTAGTACCTGGTCCATATATAAGTAGTTGCTCAATAAATGCTGATTGATAAAAAAAAAAAAGAATAGGGTAGTTTGTATCTCTTGAGTTTATCAACTCTTATTATTGCCTTACCTGGGATCATTATTGCAATTCCTACTCTTTTGGAGTTCACTGAAACATCCCTTGATTTTAACTGTACATTTTAAGTCTATCAAGCAAGTTTCTGGATTTTGTTCTCATCCTATGTATTTTTTCTTTTTAATGAAGAATTTGATCCATTAGCAGTTATAAATGTTACATTTGTATTTTGTCCACTAATTATATACAGATGTGCAAACATATATGTCACCTGCGTGCATATATTTAAGCAATCAACCAATAAGCCTTTATTAAGCATCTCTTATGTACCAGACACTATGCTATGTAATGAGGATACAAATACAAGAGTCAAATGGTTTCTGCCACCAAGAAATTTAGATTCTACTAGGGCAGGTTTTTAACTGGGGTCTGTAACTTTTTAAAAATTTGAAAAGCTATTTCTATATAATTGGTTTCTTTTGTAATTCTATATATTTTATTTTATGCATCTCAAAGCATTACAGTATTCTAAAAAGGAAACTATAGGCTTCCTCAGAATGCCAAAGGGGTCCATGTCTCAAAAACATTAAGAAGCCCTGTACTAGGTACACAATATATTCTCAGACAAACGTATATATGTGTGTGTGTGTGTGTGTGTGTGTGTGTGTGTGTGTGTGTGTGTGTGTGTGTGTGTGTATAGAAAATAAATGAAGAGTGAGAAAGAATGGCATGGAAGAATAAGGAGAGAACTTAGAGAAAAGTTTCTTGAAAGAGGTGACAAGTCAACTGAACCTTCAAGTTTCTAGGAATTCCAAGAGGTAAAAGTGAGGATGGAGAGAATTCCAGGTATAGGAGTCAACCTATAAAAAAGATACAGAGATCAAATGTAGTGTCATATATGGGGAAATAGTAAGTACAGCTAGGCTAGAGTGTAGGGTAATATATAATCAGCTTGGAAAAGTAAATAGGAGCCTGAGTATGAAGGGCTTCAAATGCCAAATAAAAGAGTTGGTACTGTGGAGTAATTAGGTATATAAAGTATTTAAAGGCAATAAGCTATATCAAACTGGATGTTCTATAGCCAACTTGAATTCATTATGTCTGTTACTATCACCTTTCCTTGGCCAAGGAATAGAAGCAGGGAAGGTACTTGTAGATGGGTTCCATTTACTTTTGGGGGCTCTGACTTTAGAGAAACAAGAAGCCAGGCAAGCAAAAAGGAGGACATGGATTCCAATGCAAGTAAGAGGCACAAGATACTTGGGGCAGTTGGAAGAAAAGAGATGGAATATAAAACCACAAAGAGTAGTTACTGAGGTTTAGCAATAATAACTTCACAAAACAATATTCATTAACTTTTCCCCCAAAATTCACTGTTCTTTCCAACTCTCTGCTAAAGGTACCACCATCCTTCCATTCACCCAGTTTCTTGGTATAGGTGTTATTTTGAACCACTCTCTATAACCCCACGTATTTAATTGGTTGCTAAATATAGTTTTATATTATCTCTCTTTTTAAAATGTAGACTAATAGATTTATTAAGCATTGTGGTTTGTGAACTGGAAATTCATGAGTCTCCTAATTTTAAAAGAGAATAAATAAAAATAAATGAATATAAAATAAATAAATAAATGAATGAATGAATAAATAAATAAATTAATGAATGAATAAATTTTTTTAAGATGTACTTTCTCTGGGTTTATGCTCTGTCCTCCCATTGCATATAAAGTGGGGTCTGCCTAAGTTCTAGGCACAAGTTTCTGTTTTCAGTATTGGGTTTCCTT